AAAACTGCATGGCAGTATTACAAATTCATCACTGTATATTGTTCAATCGGAGTAAACACACTGAACTGTTATTAGTCACTGCTAATAAACAGCACAGGCAACAAACTGCCCCAACAGAGATCTGAATCCAGATTGCATATTCTTTTTAATAACACTATCTAAAAATGCAGATACAAAAACTTTAACTGCATCAGCTACAATAACTAATATTGTTAGCAAAAATACATCACTGCATATACGTAAATGACGTATAATTTAAGGCTCATATTCACCATATTCAGTTACACAATGCTGAGTTGCGCGCCAGCTCATTTCATAAAACTGAGAAACTTGTGCTGCATCTAAATGCATTCTAAATATTGCCACAGCTAAGTAAATCAGCATTAATATCAAAATAAACGCACTGAACTGTTATTAGTCACTGCTAATGAAGAGTACAGGCAAAAAATTTACTCTAACCCTGAATCTGAATTCAGAAAGCTACCGTAGTTTTATATTTTGCAAATCTAAACTTGCATGTAGGAATAATCCCATCTGCCTCACCTCAATAAAAAGCATAGATTTGAAATGTAGAATCATAAATACGTCTCCGTATTACTTTAGAGGTAAATTATGTAGTTTAAAACGCAAGTTCATCGTATTGTACAATGTTGATTTGTTTGCCAATTCAAGGAATCCACATTTTCCTGACACCATTACAGATAAAATCACTCTGTACTTGAAAGCGCGCGTGTATACTGTCCTAGCCAGACAGATCAACAAATCGTACGACCATAGACATATCAACAAATACACTGAACTGTTATTAGTCATTGCTAATGAACGGTTCATAAAGTCGTGCTCTTAAGCTCATGTTCGTCATATTGTACAATACCAATGTGTTTGCGAGTTCAAGTAATTAGAAATTCTGTACAAACTGTAAACAACTGCTCTGCATTTGGAAACCTGTATCTTGCCTAAGTTAAACGGCTTACAAAAGGGAAAAACGGAGTAATATCACCAAACACACTGGACTGTTATTAGTTACTGCTAATGAACAGTCAACTGCACCAGGTAATACAAAGGTAAGCCTCACCATGGGTACCCTGGGGACGTTACACTGGACTGTTATTAGTCACTGCTAATGAACAGTCAACTGCACCAGGCAATACAAGCGCAAGCCTCACTACGAGTACCCTGAGGAGGTCGTTCTCATCGCGTCGCGCGTTTTCCATCAAATCGTCGGTTGTTGCTGCAACCACTGCACAGCATAGCTAGCACGACCCGAACACTGAATCTATACAGACTATACAACATTGAGTTTGGAACCATAATATGAAACAGCAAAATTTTCTTGTGTTCATGCGAAAACGTTGCAGTGTAGAAAGCTGTACAATAAAATAAATCTAAACACTTTTAGGCTGAGTTACAAACCAGGAGCCCATTTCTTTTGAACAAAGTAAATTCTCTTCGGCTGACAATTCGTTGATCTCATGCGCCATTACTGGAAATTCTACTCTGCTCTCATTAGGGCTATTTATACGTAAAAAAATAAGACGCAAACTATCTCGTATAAACGTCACATTAAGACGCGACTTAGCCAAGACGCGCCTTATCGAAGAACAGGTGTAGGGGGCTATTCTTAGATAAGACTCGTTTTAGCCAAATTTCAAACGAAATGTGTCGTTTATGTGGGATAGTTTGCCTCTTATTTAGGACGCGTCTTATGTAAGACGGGTCCTATTTTTCCTCGTGTAAACGGCCTTATTGGATGAAAAAATTCTGAACATCTAACACGCTGTGACCCAGGCCTCACATGAGTGGTGGACTCTTGAGGTTGATGGACTCCTGGTTTTACCCATGATAGTTACGCATCGCATGCAGTGTGTACGCTACGAAGTACAGAAATCTCTTGATCTACTCCAAAGTAATTTGGGTATCTCTGTGTTTTGGATAACTTCGTATTTAAATCCCTCGTGATGTGAGTTTTTTTATTATTTCAGGTCAGTGTTACGGGCATCCGGGATGCTAACATCCCTTGTTATTTGGGTTGTTGTTTCGAGGTACTATCCTTCACAGCGTACCCTGGGTATCCCGTAGTACCCTACCGAGATACTAACATCCCTTGTGATTTCGGTTGATGTTTTGAGGTGCTATCCTTCACAGCGTACCCTGGGTATCCCCTAGTACCCTACAGGGATACTAACATCTCTTGTTATTTGAGTAGATGTTTCGAAGGCACTATCTTTCGCAGCGTAACTTGGGTAGCACGCATGATCCGCGCAAACACCATGCCCGCCCGGATCGTGCCTGCCACTCAAGCTACTCGCAGTTTTTTGTAACTTGGACAGGAATTCCGGCAAATAAAATGGCCTCGTTTGATTGTTTAAAGATTACCTTATGTGATTAGTTTGCACACCAAAAGACACTGCATGCACACGTAAGATGTTGCATGGAAAGTTTTGAAGGCTGGTGGTTTCTGTCTATGTGATCACCGGCAATCGCAGTAGCTAGTTCCTTTTAAAACACGGTTTCCAGTCTAACTTTGTCTTGAAGATCTATTAGTGAGCTGGTGGTCGACCGTTATGAAATAAAAACTACAATTCAATTCCACCATTTTTATTAGATGGCAACGAACTGATATAACAAGAACATTATAACACTGTAAAGAAGTCAAGTTGTAGAGCCGGTTTCAGTGGTTGTAAAACAACCAAGGTAGGATCGCTGTTTTCACCAACATCACCAGGGACTTGAGCGCAAAGGTTCAAAATATGGGGATACTTAAATCAGGGAAACAACCAAAATGTGGGACACTTAGATTAGGGTGACACCAAAATACGGGGATATTAGGGGTAATCCGAAATGCGAGGATACTTAAATTGGGAGGGATACCCCAAATGCGACGATACTAAGTTTACAGGGAGACGGCAGGGATATTTTAAATACGGGAATACCTAAATGATTGTCGCACAGGTGGTAGTGGTTCATTTAGTGTCCAGGTCTCTTCGTGCTTTTGGTGTGGTGAGCAAGGTTCCCTTTTTTCACTCTTCGTCAAATGTGACTCCCTTTTTCTGTAGTTCTGCCTCAGTACGTAGGACACATTCACGCCGCGAGTAAAACGGAGTGATCTAATAAAGAAGACAAACAGCAACGGATTACAAATAACGTAGAGTTAGTTCGTTAGTGATCGTGAAAATGGTAGCCATGATTGTTTTTAGGTTGGGGACCCACAGAAAGAAACTATGGGCCGCATAGGTATGTTGGGTTTGTGTAGTTTTGGTAGTCCATACAGCTTGGGTGGCTGCGGAACACTACACCTCAGTCTGTTGTAGCGTCGAAAGTCGATCTTGTCGGTTTTCTTCAGTGTAAGCAGTTTGTTGTTAAGTTTGCGTTGCAGTGCGGGTGTAGGGTCTCGTTTAAGTACGTGGTAGGTCTGTTTGTCGTTAACAAGCGAGTCCATTTTGTCGTTGTAGTCTGTCTTGTCCATAACAACAGTCACCCGTCCCTTGTCTGCGGGTAGTATGACTATGTTCTCGTCTGTTTTCAGTCGTTTAAGTGCTTTCTGTTCGTCAGGAGTCAAGTTACTGTTCGGTAATGAGGCTGATTGCAGAGTAGAGGTCACTCTACTTCTGATGTTATCCTTGGGAGCAGTATACAAGAAGACGACTGTTTAACTGTGACAATAGACGGATCGAAACGCACCAATCACTGATTACGAGTCTTCATAGCCGATAACATCAAGGCTTAACTGACAGACGACCAATAACATCGCGACATAATTGACCAATCAGATCTATAACCAGAGTATAATACCATCAACTGACGCGATACAACTCACTTTGACTCTGAAGATGACTACCGCACAGGTTGTCGAAACGTCAGTCACTGTCAACAACAACAGTCCTATTCAGGACTACGTTCACCCGGACGATCAAACTCAACCTTTTCTTATGAAATAGACTGTACAGTACAGTGAATTGGTTGAAACTTGAGCAAACGTGTTCCTCGCTTTACTAGTAAAAATAGCTGCTCAAATTTACAAATCCTTCGAAAATACAATAGATTGTTTATTTCGGGAAGTTATGAAATGTCTAATAGTTATTCAAATTTTGACATTTCGTAAGTAAGTACTTCGCTGAGCGAATCCCTTAGCAAACGTACTGCTTTATAGGAAACTGCAAAAAAAGCTGTTTAAAAATTATAAATGAACTCAGCGTAAACATAATTTGATCTCGCGAAATAAGTGACATGAAATGTAATAACCAAGAGTAATTCTTAAAAGTGTTTTTAGCTCATTTAGTACACGGGTCGAGTCGACTACGGGGCTAAGGGAAAAAAACTCGAGAAGAGATCAGGTTTTCCTCACTACCTCCTGTACCTCAGGCATAATTTTCAGTGTAAATTTGCACCGCAGCCAATTGGTAGTGCTCTCCTTACTCTTTCCCCGACAGGACGGCAGTAATCAGAATTGCCTGTCTTTTGCTGTCCTTTTTATTGAACGCATCAATACGCTTCATCCCCAGATTTAGCGTCAAGGAACATGCTTAACCGTAACGTTACAAGAGTAAGATTTCAATTGTATTCTATAAAAAAGAAGAAACCGCATTTGTTTTGTTTAAGTTCGCATTTTGAGGAAATGGTAAGGAAATCGAAAAATGAAGTCAAAACTTTTCAAAGTGCAATCCACTACCATCCTGGCCACCCAAAGCTAAATACACTAAATTTCAGTGCACTAATATAGCAGTCGTTAACCGAACTTGAGTTTGATATTGAAATCTACTTTAGTCAACTGACGTAGTAATATTATTAACGGAGTATGATTATTGCAATCTATTTCCATCCTGCAGGACATATAAAGACACAAAATACATTAGCAATTGTTGTCACGACTGGACCACTACTCGACAAGTTTTCTTTTACAAAACTGTGTCTTTTGTAGTGTGGATAAGAATGGCTACACAGCCCCTTTGAAGAACGCCTCCTTTTCGTCCACCAGGAAGTTCCTGGGTATTACGAACATTAATAATGCAAATTACAAAAGAGAAACTTACATGATACTCTGACCTCAAGAACATGTCCCTTTCCTTTGCTAATGTAGACAGCTCAGTGGCTTCTTTCTTTGTCAGTTGAACGTGTTTGAGGCTGAGCCGAGGAAGGCGAGGACCACTTCTGAGACACTTGATTAGTTCAGTCACTCCACGGCCCAGTGGATTTTTGTCAAGCCAAAGGAAGGTCAGTTCTGGTACGTAGACGAGTACATTAGCTAAAGCTGTAACTTCCTCTCCACCCATCTGTGTATCACTCAGGTACAGCTCTTTCAGATGAGGTACACTGTGCAGGTGTTTGGCAAGCTCACTTATCCCGTGACCGAGTGGGTTGTTTGATAAGGTAAGTATACTCAGCTGAGTCATATGCTGTAAACTATGGGCTAAAGCTGTGACCTCCTCTTCACCTATCTCTGTATCATACAGGTACAGCTCTTTCAGATGAGGTACATTGTGCAGGTGTTTAGCAAGCTCACTCATCCCGTGACAGAGTGGGTTCTTATTTAACCGAAGTAGACTCAGCTGAGTCAAATGCTTTAAACTATGGGCTAAAGCTGTGACTTCCTCTTCACCCATCTGTGTATCATCCAGGTGCAGCCCTTTCAGATGAGGTACACTGTGAAGATGTTTGGCAAGCTCACTTATCCCGTGACCGAGTGGGTTACATGATAACTCCAGTACACGTAACTTATCAACATACTTTAAAGCAGTGGCAAGTAACTGACACTCTTGATTCCCTATACCACCACCACATAAAACGAGCTGAGAGAGTCGAGGCACACGGTTAAGAATATTCAGTAAACAGACAAGTTCACTTCTTGGGCCCCAACTTTTAATCTCTCTCAAATATGACAGAGAGTGTGTCAGAGTCTGGTCAGATGTTTTCTCAGTTAAATGCAAAGAGCTGCAAACATCATGATTCTGTGACACGTGATCAGGCTCTTGACGAGAAGACTTTGGTGCTGATATTAATGATTTAGGCTCAATAATTTGCCGAATGATCTCTTCGTTGAAATGAGAGCGAGTTAAACAGAACACTGATCGATGTCCAGCTTTCTTTATGAAAAAGTCGTCAGGGCGTAGATTGGGGAACATATTCACGGATTTCACGTCACCATAACATGTCACAAAAACAGTGTCCACATCGGACATGACAGAGAACATTGAGAACGTGTGATCACGCTCATCGTCATAAATACATATCTGTGTATCCCTGCCTCGTGTAAAAAATACATAATCTGGCTTATGGGAACTTGTTGATCTCAAACAATGTTCTCTAGCAACTGTAGGCAGGTGTTCTTTAACATCTATCATTATAACACCGCTAACGCTTTGTAGGAAAGAAGGATAGGCGACTTGCCTGTCTGAGACAGGGTGGCAAAGGAAAAAATTGAGACAAGAACGATAAAACTCTGTTTGTTTTTCTGTGAGCTTCTTGACAGAAGGGTTTTTGCAGAAGTTGTTATCTGTCAGACCTTCTTCTTCTCCTATCATCTTCAGATGGCGAAAAATAGCAACGGTGGCTTCTGATGACAACTCCGAAACAAATTTGAAAACTTCAAGCACCTCCTCGAACCGTTTAATTGAGTCGACTTTAGACAGACAGTTGAAGGCTTCCTTTGCATTCTTCAAATCACGAACTAAAAACAAGGCGGAAAGGAATTCTTGCATCGATTTATGAAGAAAGACCGCCAGTTTCTCAGGACGAGGAGAGTTTGAATGATTAGAAGTCTGCAGAAAGCCAAAATCGATAAACTTGTCAAGGAATAACCGAATGTCCTCAGGCAAATTGCTGAGCTTGAAATAAAGACAGTCATTTAAAAGTGCCTGCCAGGCAAGTTCCCCTAGCTTTACAAGGTCTTCTCTGTATTCATCCATGCTTGTAAATGTCTCATCTGAGGCTTTTGCGGTCACGTGATCAAGCAGCGTCCGACAGAAACCGCTATACACATCTGCGCGGGATGTTGATGGTCCTTGATAATCATAAACCTTCCAGCTTAGAACCAACATCAACAGAAGAAGTGGTATTTCTGCTAAACCCCAGAGGCTGTGCTTTCTCAAGAACGCGGTGAACTTGTCTACTTTTGTTTGGTCATGAAGAAACTTAAGAGCAAATGTTTCAACTTGCCACTGATCAAACCCATTAATTTCAAACTGAGCATGACTTTCTGGTCTTAATTCATCTTTTTTCCGAGGTCGGGTAGTCACAAGGAGAGTGCAATCTCTCAATAGACTGCCTTTCCAAATTTGATGGACTGGCGATGATATTTCGGCGCTATATTCATCATAACCGTCTAACATAAGTAGGACTTTCTCTTGGTTACAAAGAATGTATTCATACAATTGGCCAAACACCATAGGGTCACCTGCGGACAACAGCTCCGCCTTTTGTAGCATGGCACAGAAGTCCTGCGTGTTGCAAAGATCTCGGAGCTTAATTAAAAGTACAACAGCAAACTTCTTTAGGATTTCTTTATTACCTCGTGACCAGTCAACGGCGAGTTTCTTTGTGAAAGTCGACTTTCCTATTCCTGGTCTCCCATACACTAAAATTCTCTTAGGAATTAGGTGATGACCATGGCTTGCGAATAGCTCACTGTAATCTTGAAGCCTTTTTTGTGTTGTTCCAGCAAGTTTTCTGTAATCTCTTAGCAGTGTTAACTGTACATACACCTCATCAATGTCCATGGTATTATCCCGGTCCCAAGGAGTAATCATTAACTGGCTCGCGGTACTGTTGTAAAATGAGCAAAGCTGATTTTGACTCCACTCCAAAAAAGCAGTTGCAGCATCTGTTTATAAAAAAAGTAAATCTCTTTAAAATTAAATCCTCTCAAACGCATTGAGCAGTAGAAAGTGAATTGTACCAGCTTTGTGGTAGCAATGATAATGGTAGTTTTTCTATTACGCGGTCATTTACATGTAAGCGTGCAAAAAAAAAAAAAAGAGAAAGAGAGAGAGAGAGAGAGAGAGAGAGAGAGAGAGAGAGAGAGAGAGAGAGAGCTAAACGCAAGGGCACTTTTGTAACATTTTAGGGCACTTTGGTAACCTCAAAAAGGGCACTATTGTAACATAGGGCACTTTGGTAACCTCAAACAGGGCACTATTGTAACATAGGGCACTTTGGT